AAGAATGCCATGTATGCCAGGACAGTGGTATGTGGATTTCCTTCCTGGGGTTGCTTTGAGAGATATTTTGGAAACTTCAGTACAGAACACAGTGACTAGAATTTTGACCCTCCTTTGATAATACACAAGCATGGAAAAGGGCTTCATTAGTTGGCCATCCACATCCATGCTAACATCAATGTCCAAAATGGCTTGGAGACCAGGTACATGAGGAGTGTGTAAACCTTTAGGCTCATCAGCTCAAGCCTTTCTTGGTGTGCCTTCCCCATTGGAGGTGAGATTGACATTCACAGAAGAGGAGGGTCTTTTCAGTTTTCCATCACAGTTGTAGCAAGTCCCTCTGCCCCTGGAAATTCATTGGGTATCACTGTTCCATTTATCTTTCAGACAAAAGTCTCCTCCGTTATTTAAATGATTTTGTAATACTGCTGTGCTGTTTTATCTGACATTTTAGTTTGAGGGTTTAGTATAATGCATTTTCCAGTTCTGATTTTATTCACTGAAAATGCCTGGCATATGCCTGTAATGTTATTGCCCTGGAACAGGGAAATGAAGGATAATATATAAATATAAGAATGAATCAATGAATCAATGAATGAATGAATAAGAAAGCAAGCCAGTGAACCCAGTTTCCTGTTTATATCTTTGTGTTGCTTAGGAAAATTTAAGGCTTCCTTGAAAATAATCTGTTTCATCCTTCATCCTAACATTTAGTATAAATTCACTGACATTCTCTTAGAAATAACCATATCATATTAAACAATTAGAGTGAAATATCCCTTTGTCAATAATCATAACATCATGTTAACAGCTGGATTACACTCCAGTTACTCCAGTGACAGGATTATAGCTTTCAAAATTGCCTTTTTGAAGAAAAAATGTGTGGCATTTATGTAAATATCCATTAGTGTCTTTGCGCTACCTCAGAAGCTTTTCTTTCAAGGCAATTAAATGCTGTTTGCAAAGTGGATGAAGCAAAATAAATGGGGAATTAATAATCTGAGGACTATTTATAAACCTTTGGATCAATTTGCAAGCCTGGCCATCTGTGTTTTTGCTCAAGGCCACATTTTATCAAAGCCATTTCAGAGGATTACCATGCAGAAATAAAACATGATGAAATGGTTTGCTCAGGTTAGTACAGCTGCAGGTGTACATTTGCCATAGCCAAAAAAGGTGCTGCAAATAAACCAAGCACGGCTTCTTAATCTCTTCTTCACTAGCAGAACAATCCTATGCATGTCTATTGAGCATTAATTCCCCAAGTTCAAGGGGGTTTGCTCCCAAGTTAGTGTGTAGAAGATTGTAGCCTCAAAATTCCAGCTAGTGGAGAAAACATTCATTAAAGAGATTATCTGCAAGATGCTTTAATTCCATGAGGAAGTTTGATTCTATGACACTAATTAAAGTGGTGATTTGCCTGAGAGTTTAATTCATGTTAAACAGTACTTATTAGCACTCATATGTAAACATTTTATATTATTTGAGTTTGAAATTAAACTTCGCACTTCAGTTCAGATGTACATGTCTTTCTCCACTCTTGGTGTACTATTTTCCTCATGGCAGGAACAATGTAGAGGCAAGTGAATTTGGAGGATATAATGTCCCACTACAGTACTCTAAATTTAAATGCATGCACTACTTTATTATGGAAAATGAAATGACACAATGAGCAGTATTATCAGATTTAACCACCTCAAGCCCACGCAGCCTAAATAAGTGGCACACATCCCTGAAGCCAAGTGGGCTGACACTGAAGCCACTAATCACATTTGTTATTGATTTATCCTCCAAGGAGTCAAGGCAGCAAACACGACCATCCTGCTCTCCATCTTGTGTTCACAACAACATTATGAGGTAGGTTAGGCAAAGAGTCTGTGACTGGCCCACAGTTACGCAAGTGAGCTTCATGGCTGAGTGGAGATTAGCAGCCAGATCCCCTGAGTCTTAGTCCAAGACTCTAACCACTATGCCATACTAGCACTCTCGCTCTCTCCTCTCTTTCCCTCTCTCAACACAAACCACTTTTACACAGGAGGAATGTATCTTTTCATTGTACTAGGAAGGCATCTGGTGATTGTATTTCCTGGGCCTATCAGCATTCTCTGTCATATCTGAGATAGTTGCAATAGAGGATCAAAGTATGTCATTATCTTTTACCTTCTTCCTGAATTAAATGAAACCTACCATTAGTTGCATCTGGGGCATTTTGTTACCCCATACAAAAATGCCTCAAGCAAGGCAAATGCTGTACATGAAGGACCTTTGTTCTGGTGAATAAGTAAGTTTCCCAAGGAGGTTTCAATCTGCATAAGAATAGCATTCAGCTAACACAAGTAATTTAAGAATTAATGTTTAACCTATTGACCTTGGGTCTGCATAAGAATAGGTTAAACATTTTCTGACTAAGCACAAACATGTCCTAGGAGGACTAAATGGTTGGTGTACTTATGTGTAAATTACAGAACAGAATGTGACTCTGGGGGACTCCAAAGCCCCTAATAAGTAGGATGAAGGCATTTTTCATACCAGTGTCATTGTTTCATTCATGCTGCTTTTCTCTGCACAAATAAAGCCTGCATTATCCTTAACATATTGATACTTCCATAGTAATGCAAGAATTCTAGATTCTACATTTTTTATTTTTATTACTTTTCAATTCATTCTGTGCCAATCTGTTGTAATGTTTAAAAATACATGTAAGAGAAGATATTAGTGTTGCAAATTGTGCTATTAAAATAAAATAACATAAAAATGTAAGTTTTAACTCAAGGAGATATTACCTTTGGGCTTTCTGAAGGAAAACATAATTTGACTGCAGAAATGTGCTCTGCCAATAGTTTTGAGAAGAACACATGAACATATAAAAATGTATAAAATCCTATGCTTGTTCAGACAGACAAATGCCCCAGCCAGCACTGTGCCCTAAAATACTAATGCTTTTTCTTTTCTTTTCCTTTAAGGTCAGGGACGATTAGATGGTGCATTGTGCTCTTTCTCCAATGAAAAAAAGCTGGAGTATTTAAAAAGAGCTTATAATGCTGGAGTTAGAAATATAGAAATGGAGTCTACAGTATTTGCTGCTATGTGCAGGCTCTGTGGCCTTAAAGGTAAGGCAGCTTCTCTTTCAGATTTGCTTCACTTTGCTAAGATCTCCTCCCTGCAATCCTCCTAGGGGTGTGTGAAGAATGTGTTTGGGGGTGGGAATGAGTCAGAGTCCCTGGACTCTGGTCTTTCTTACAGCTGTGAGTCTGAGTTCCTGGCAGGCACATCCTGTGTTTGCATGGCACTCCCAGGTCTGTGCAACTCCTGCACAAATGGCGACTCTCATCTGTGTGACACACACCAGCATGAGTTGGTGCAGCACATGGTGCAGAAGGCTGCCTCCTCACAGACTTTGTTTCCTCGTGTTTATGGGCTTTCCTCGGCTAAGCTCACTTTCCTCGGCTGGGGTGAACACAAGAGGAAGTCTGCAAATGCTAGAGGAATGGAGTCTGCAAAGCTTTGTTGGAAGCCTAAACCCATGCCCACATATCTCAAAAGTATAAAGTACCTAATGGAAATAGGGCTCTCCACTAGGAATCTCAGATGAATCTGCAATGGGTTCAAATGAGTCCAGATTTCTATGACTACAACCCACAGATTGCGTTCCAGTCCATCCACAACAGACGGGCTTTCCCAAATCAAATGGATTCGCCCGGTCTTTCACTTTGGGAGGTGTTTGCAGTAATGTATATACGCACATGAATTGGCACATTAACCATATACATTTGCATTTATCAGCACTAGCAAAGCAAAAGGAAATTCTGGTTTAAAAAATCTGATTCTGTCAATGAGCAGGTAATAGAACAAAACATGCCTGACGATCTGCAAATTTCAGGTGGAACGGAACAAAATCCATACACCCCTACTGTCAAGCAACCTCAGTTGTGCTTCCCTGTCAGTAACTTTCAGTTCTTTCGATCGACAAGAAAGTCTGCAACTTTCACTGACATGGTAAAAATGTGTCTGGAGTGTACCATTTCCTACTGCCAGTGGGAGTGCTCATGACTGAAAGCTCCACATGAACATGAAAGCTAAAAACTTGTAACCACTTCTCCCAGTAAACAAACCTAGAGATGCTTAATCATAGGATTTCCCCATATGATCCAATGTGGACAGCAAAGAAATGGACTTAGAACAGTCTACATGTCAAACTGATAAATTCTGCCAGTGTTTAGCGTCAGGCTGGTTTTGTTGTTGTTGTTTTGTTTCACTGAAATACAGCTATGGCATGGTGTTGATTTCTTCAGAGTAATGGTAGGGGAGGGAGCATTTCTTATGGGAGTAAAGAAGATTGCCACTTTTGCAATCAGTACCCCTGCTGTGAAGCTGTGCTATTTCCTCACAGTACCTATATTTTTCTCCAAATGGGGACCATTTTAACCAAGACAATGGCACTGGCTGGTGGGGCAGGAGAGATGAAATACTATTGTCATGGCAGAAAACCAGGTTTTTAAGTAGTGGGAGTTCCAACCACATATACAGATGTGGAAACTTCATCATGGCAGTCCCAAAATCAAATCTGGCTTCTCAAGCAGTTGTACGGGGGGGGGGGGGGGGTTGAGAGGCTTTACACATTCAACAGAGCTGTTTAAGGCTGTATTGACTGAATCCTCTTTCCTACTTTTTCCAAAGAAAAGAATAATTCAGCTTGGGGGATGAGGAATCATGCAGCAGGAAAGTCCCTACAAGTTCCTTCCCTTGTAACGTAGAACGTACTTTCCTGCAGGCGAAGAGGAGACTCTGAGTCAAGCATTATGATCCCAGCAGGAAATGATGCTCTGCACAGCACTTACGGCCTCCCTTTTCTTAAGGAAGGTGGGGAGAGAGTGGAAGGCAGGGAAACATGGTAAGAAAGGCATTCTGAGTTGGCCCCAGCTTGAACAGGACCAGTTTTCCCTCAGAATGGGATCAGACATTTCAACTTGGCTGTGCTTGCATTTCAAGCTGCGGTCCTTTGAAGTCTTGCCCTATCCCAGCCCAGATACACACTGTCCTGTCATAAGACTTTGAAGCTCGCAAAGCCGACATATATTAGTGTGTGAGCCAAATCAATTCATACTGCAGATGGGGGTCACTTGTTATAATATTTCTCCATATGAAACACTTCCCAACATATAAAAAAACAGTACACCAGAGAGAAGATTAAGCTAGAACCCAGATTAAGATTACGCCTTTCTATGGTAAATCCTGCATGGTTTCCATGCTTTGTGGCTTTTTTTTTTGGCCTGGATGTGCCAGACAGATGATCAGATGCTTTCTATGCTAGCATAGCTTCCACCCTCCTTGCTTGAGCTTCTCATTGTTGGCCTGTATCCCATTAGCCACAGCACCTGAAATTCAATCCCACACTGGATGGCTAGAGCAGCTCTTACAGCTGACACTCTTTCCAGGAGAATCCATGGTAGCTACATACCAGGACTGTGGAAACCACAATACCTGGTTTGGGTGACCAGAGAAATCATGGTGAAGCATGGCAACCATAGACTGTTGTTTCTTATTATGGCTTCTACAAACGAAATGTACTATGGTGAATACCATGTTAGGGTTCAGACCATGACAGAACATTCCTCATAAGAAGCTACGGTGGCTTGTTCTGCAAACAGGCAAATAATTCTATAGGCAGAACTATTTATTTTTTTGTTTAGAGGAAATTCAGTCATATGTATGACATGCTTCAGTCTGAAGTAGTACAGTCCAGACATAATTCTACCATCTCAGTGATAACTAGGCCTGCATCTATCACAAGACTGATTTGCTAGGACAAAGGTGGGCCTTTCAGATGTTTTGGATTACAACTTAGCTAAGTTGGCTAATACCAGTGGAAGCTGCTGGTGAATATATGGAGAGTCACCTGTTCTTGAAGAAAACTGTTACAAGCAAATGAAAGTAATGAAGCCCATTTTTTTGTGTGAGAGTGGTGGGCAACCAACAAAAGCTCATTCATCTTTCTTACCCCACCCATCTTTTTCACTCAAAATATCTGCCCCCCCCCATTACTGTCCTTTTGTAGGGTTCCAGGTACATAAGCACAGGTCACAATACAGGGATGTTCCCTTATGTTTCATTTCTAGTCCAGAGTTGTTTACTACTAGCATATACTGTTAATACATGAAACAAAATGATATTGGTTGGGAAAGTCATGTAAGTCACAAAGTGTGCATGTTTCTAAAAAGCATGCAAAATAAAAATAATAAACAGCAATGCAACCATTCTTTTTGCTTGCACCTTAGCTATCTTTGGAAGCTACCTTTGGAAGTACACGTAGCAACTGAACTCATGCTATGCTTTAAGTAGGACTGTAATATTTAATGGTTTCATCAGTTAGAGTAATTTACTAATGGAACAAGCAAATGGCTGGAAGAGAGCATTTGGGCAGCCATAGGATTCCCAAATCCAAGGTGGAAGATATGGCTTCCACATTGAACAAGGCAATCCCTCCCTACCCAGCTGAACCACCTCCACTTCCTCTCCAAGGCTGGGAAGGTAACCGTAGAGAAGGGGAAAAGAGTGTGTTCCAGTTATCAGCAAGGGGATGAGACCGGAGGGGTCAAGGTAACAAGCGTGTCTACTGAAGATGCCATGCAGGAGAACAGGAAGGCAAAGATGCTTCTACTCCTCCTCCTGCCCTGCACAGGATGGTGAGAAGCCTCTAAGTTCAGGTCAGGGCTTTAAGATTAGCAAGGGAACAATCCCTTGTTTTTAGGACTTTGCCCTAAAAACCTTTTTTCATCACAGTGGAGTAAATGTTTTTTCAAACATTATGCCTGCTACCTCACATGCATTTTATTACTACTAATAAAAACTTGCTTCTTCTGAACTATTGCTTTATTTATATTGAAAATTATGCTAATTTAATTTATCAATAGATCATCTAAATCTGATATAGTGAATCAAGCAAGATGCCTTTAAATCAGCCCTACATAAAAGATATTACACATATTCTTGTGACATAGAATATAATTTGGGAAGTTACTCTGAGTTCTTATAGAGTTACCCTGGTTTTCTGGTCATTCAGAAACAATGAGATACATATTAGTTAACTAATTCAGATTTGTAGCCCACTGTATCTTAAAAGCTGTGGGCAGTAACAAAAGGTTATGCATAAATCTAAATATCTCAAATCCTACTGTATTATTCACAATCTTGTACATGTATGCTTATATAAATTTGGTATAAAAAGAATTCTGAACCTCTTTTCTGAATGTTCATCAATCTCTAGCTGCAGTGGTGTGTGTGACTCTCCTTGATCGACTTGAAGGTGACCAAATCAAAGCACCTCATGAAGTTCTAGTTGAGTATCAGCAAAGACCTCAACAACTGATTTCAATGTTTATAAAAAAGCGTCTTGGCCTATGAAATCCAAATCGATTCTTAAATAATGCTGTAGTCTAGAATACTTGTCACATTCTCCCTTTCTTCCCCCTTCCCCCCCCCCGCCCCCGCCACACCATAAATGCCCTTTAAGTGGATCCCAATATCTGGCCATTAATACGATAACACATTATAGCAACATCATACATAATCAGTTTTTGTCTAAAACAGAAAAGTATTTGTTTCACTGTAGTATTAAATTTAGTGGCAATAGACAACATCTTAATAAACATCCCCTTAACTACAACAACAGATTTCTAGCCACATAAAATTATGGAAGAAAACTATGACTGCACCAGCCCCAGGAAAGGAAGGGATGCAACCTCCAGTTGTACCAGAAAAAAAGTTATTTAATTAAAATCCTGACATGTTTTGAATATAATTTCAGAAAAAGTTTCAAGCATATTTAGGTACCAGTTTGAAAACTGTTGCTTGAGATAGAAATGACAACTGCTTGAAACACAGTGGGCTTTAAATAACAGGCTTTCTTGTTTTGTTTCCTGCATTCTTTTCTCCCCATAAAATAATTGCTTAATATTCTCAGATCACATTCTGCTTGTCTGAAGAATGCATCCAGACTTTTCAGATTACCAAAAGGTGTGGCAAAACTTGTAAGGTCTTTAAGTAATTTAGGATGTCACCGGCAAACTTAATAAAATAAATACCCATGGCTGAGGAATGCCACATTCCTCACAGGCACCTCCAGAAAAACTGCTGTACTTGAAGTATCCTAATTCAACAGGCTAGTTCAACTGTCTTCAATGAGCAACTTGTCTTAAATAAATCCCAGTGATGCATCCTGACTACCAGGATTTTCCACCCAGAGCACACCTGTTGCCACGATTTGCAATGGCATGACAACACAGGAGAGTAGCTTGATGCTGTGGTTAACAAGTCACCCCAGAGCCCAAGGAGAGGCCATGGGTTCTGATGGCCTGCTAACAACAGCAAGCAGTGCTGCTGAGGGTAATGACATAAATCCCTCAACACGTGACGGGTGGATGCAGCATAGTTAACATGCCACTCTGGCTTGTGACTCACCTGCCAGTCAGGCAAACTGGCTTCAGTGCTCTTCTTGACACTTAACCTGGGGCTCAGTTGCCATTTAGACCGCTTGCCATGCAGCCACATAGGCATTCCTATTTTATAGGATAGTGAGTCATAATCCCTGTTCATCAGTTCCTGCAAGCAGTTTGTGCCTAAAATCGTGATTTACAAGTATATATACCAGTGGCTATTTACAAGAATATGCTGTGTATCTGGCAATTACATATCATATCAGGTGCAACCATTATATACTGGTCTTACAGCATTATCCTATACATGCCTACCCAAAAGTAAGCTCTATTAAGCTCAGTGAGGCTTACCTCCAGGTACATGGGCACAAGACTGCAGCCTTAGCTTTCATTAGAGTTGTTTTCCAATAATAAGTCGAGCTAGCTTGTGTACCTCAGATGGGATTACTTCATAGTTGACGCAAAAGTAAATCTGCCATTCCGGTGTATTATTATTTGTTCAGCACACCTGTGAAGAGAAACTCGAATATTATTTTAGAACACAGTGGGGTAACATTTCATTTTAGACATCTGTCAGGAATTGATCAAACAGCTTCAAAATATTTAGACACAAGATGTCAATGTATGGCAACTCCACAGCAGCACCAAAAATGTTCCAAGTTTATTATACTGTGATCCTAGCTGAATATGGAACAAGCTGAAGTTGGTTCATACTGAAATGTTTCAGTAAATACCAGGTGACAAGCTGCACAGTGACAGACGAACCAAAGGAAAGGAGAAAATACAATATTACTGATTCAAAAAAGTGATCAGAAATTATTACTAGCAAATATCGCATGTGTTTTTGCTTGTTAATTAGATAACAGGAATCATAATCTTTTCTAAATGGAAAAAACTGTACATAGTGCTTAGAGTTTAATTCTAGTCATAATATAATCACTTTTTAAAAACATGGTATGTAATTAGATTTGAGAATTGTGTTGTAATAAGTTTACATTATTTATATAGTTCATTGTTGAATATACCACATTACATTTATTGAATGCTTCTACAGAATTGGTTAATATGAACTTTAAAATAACGCAGCAGAGAATGGAAGACAACTGTTGGCAAAAAGGTTATATTATTTTGTATCAGAGTGATTATTTTTCTGAAATATTTATGAAATCTTTTACTTAATATGATTAAAGACTGGATGTGGAAAGAAAATCATGGTATAGTACTTGCAATACATATGTTTACCATCCTGTAAAGTTTTATTGTCCTCTTGCTTATTTTAAATTCCACTGTTGGATTAGCATTGGGGAGAGTCAGCTTTAAATTCACACTTGATTCATGAGGCTCTCTGGGTGAACGATCACCACCTCACACTCTAAGCTATCTTAAGGGGTTGTCAGCTTGTCATGGGAACAGAAAAGGGGAGAGGATAACCTTTGCCACATTGAGGTAAAATGGGATTTGATATACGTAAAAAGCAAATTACATTTATATTCCATTGGTGGTGGTCTTGGTTTGCAGTTTTGAATGAAAGTGTAAAGGATTATGAAACTCATTTGATATTATGTCTCTTTCCACTAACATTGACATACAAGGTAGCTAAGGATCATACAGTACAAATAAAAAACAAAACATATAAAAAGGGATCCATTCAAACATAAATCAAAGCACAATAAAAGCCCAGCTAACATGCCAAAGGCCGACCTGAATAAAACGTCTTGCCCTGGGGGCAGAAGGACAACAGAGGAGGCGGCAAATTAGCCTCCCTCGGCAAGGTGTTTGAGAGCCTAATAGTCATTGAGAGGGCTTCTCTCATCTCCAGTCCAAAGATGACTCTGAAGCAAGTGGAAGATCTGAAAACCTGGGCAGCAAGTTTGTATGGCAGAGGACAGTCTTTTGGGTAGTCATACAGTGCATATGGGATTTACAAACACAAGGTATAGTGATGACCACTGATCAGGATGACTTTGAAAGTGATGAGACAGCTTTGTGGAGGATGACGCTACCAAAGCTAACTAGGGGCTGTTGCACTCAGGCCTTATGTGTGAATTATCCACAGCTGAATGGTTATCCACTGTGTGAAGAGAATGCTAGGCCAGATGGACCTTTGATCTCATCCAGCATGACCCCTTTCATATTCTTAATGGTCATATCCAGCACTTTGAATTCTGCACAGAAACAGCCAGTAGCCAAAGAAGCAGTTGTAACAAGGGGCTGTGAGCCCCCAAAAGTCTAAACCTCACTGAGTTTATACCTGATATAACTGTTGAAATTTTCTCCTTCTTCAGAACAACAGTATCCCACCCAAAAGGGTAAACCAGATCCCAAATGTGCCTTGCCAAATGACTGGGGGCAGATACCAGCTGTGGAAGACCCCTTGGTTGCTACGGAGACCTGAGCTATTCCCAACAAGGCAGTTTCACCATGTACGTTAAAATACCCTGGCACCATAGGCCAAGGAAACTCCAGAACCATCTCCTTAGAAAGATGTGGAGGCCTCAGTCATGCATTACAAGGACAACTGACCACGTGAAAACTGCAAAATGTTATTACTGTTGGTGTCCCTCAACCAACTGCTTGCTTATCACATATCTACCTTCTGATGAAAAAGCAAGGCCGCTCTATTTGCCTGTGCTGGTTATTGTTGAGTGGTAAGCCTGTTTCTCCTCAGTTTTGGAAGGCTTAGTATTAGTTGTCAAGGCAGGGATCTGGGCCTAGTAAAACATAAGCTCCTCAACAACTGGTGCAAAGCTTTGTTGTATCCTATATGGCTGCCCTTCATCTATTCACAATCTTTGCTGCATTTCTTGTACCAAATTAGCTTAAGATTCGGCTTCTAAGGAAATCAAATGACTGTGAGGCCTGAAGATACTTTCAAACCTCTATGTTGGTCTAAAAGTAGCCCAAAGGGAGATTTCACAAAATGAAAGCATAACAGTGCTTGCCAGGATTATTGCATTGCTCCCCAGTAAGAGACCAAAATAATCTAGGCTGAGTCCAGAAGGTAAATTTGTGTTCTCTTGGTAGAGCCCAGGAAATGTCCTGGGAAAAGGCAGACATCTTTCCCCTAGAATCCTCATTATGTTAGTTACAAATACCTCATGGAACATAGATTAAACAGTAGATGCCATCAGACCTTATCATTCCTCTGCTAATGAACATGGGTGCTGCCGCAATAAGTATGCTTCCTTGCTGTTTTGCTCATGATTTAGTGCTCACATCACTTTTTTTGCACATGATTCAGTGCTTTCCCTATTGCAAAACAGCTCTAGCAGTCATGTCTGGGCCATTTTTTTAGGGCATCTGTGAAATTGTCCTCTGTTTTATTCACACCACAGGTGCAGATCTTTTAATAATACTTCAGTGGACGAAAGGGAAATGCTGCATTCTAGAAACAGAAATAAGGCTTTTTTGTTTTGTTTTTGCTACTTGAAATATAAATTAGACCTCAGAGCCTACACCACAGAAGTTAGAGATTATTGCAGTAATCAACTGTGCCATGCAGCAATGAAAACTGTAATTTCCTTACAGTGAATGGCAAAGAACAAAACATCCATCACAATTCCTGGAGTGCGTGAATTTAGAGTTTGCTTCAAAGGTGCTAAGGGGAGGAAGTTGTACTTTTAAACTTTGAAAACCACAATGCTTCATTATTAACTTATCAGTGCTAGTGAAAAGTATAATTCCAGCAAGCATTATTTTGTTTATTTCCCTATCAGCTCCATTATTTCAGCAGTGGTTCTCAAATTGTGGATTCACACTGGTATTCAAAGGCCCCCACCATGGGAACCACCAATTTGTCTGCAGAGGTATTTGAAGTGTGGGAGTAACTCCTGGGCCCAGTTTATCTCCAATGTGCATCCAGCTCTTCAGTTTGTGCCTGCCTGTACCATGTGGCATGGACACCTCCAGGGGAGCAGAAGGCATATATTAGCAGGATGTTACTGTGAGACATACAGTGACTTGTTCCCATGTGCTCGCTTATAGTAATCAAAACCAAATTTGGAGCCTGGTAGACAACTCCCAAATCTGGGGGGGTGGGGAGTCAGATGAGTGGACACAGGCAAATGCAACTGTGTGTGTTCAAGCAGCGTATGTTACTGTACTCCCATCCCCTTCCTTATTGAGACTCTGGGGCACAGGATAAACCTCCTTTGCAACAGTGAGAATTGAAACTGGTAGAGGTGCTTCACAAATAGGATGGGTCTACAACACTTTTATCTTCAATTTAACACCCACTACTCCCTATGTTGGTTCAGCTTGTACCTGGTTACTCTTCTCATTAAAACCTCTATCTCCTTAGCCTTCTATTATGGACCTGAGAGCAGGGCATAACTTTCTCTACTAGCTAGTCTGTTTGTTTGCAATGGCTTCCTCAAAACAGTGGGCTGCCACCAGGGAGATTAAACCCCAAACATCCCATTTATCCAGCTTCCTGTTGAGTAAGTAAGCAATTCAGCCCAGCTGTGTCGGGGGAGGGGGGGGAGATGCTTCGAATTTTCTTCTCTCATTTAACCATTCCCTGAAAAAAAGGAAAAAGAGAAAGAGAAAGAAAAGCAAAACTGGTGAAATCCCTTAAAAATAAGCAGGGGCATTTCAACCATGCGGTCTTGCGAGTGAGAAAGGTTTTAATGAAAATTTCCCATTCAAAACCAATGTCCAAATATAACATGGGGTTTTATTTGGGAAGAGCAAGGAAAGAAACAATCACATAGCAAGGATTCCAAATAAAAATAAGGTCATTTCTGCTTGATTATGATCTTTCATTTCAGAGCATATGCAGAATTAATTGCAGAGAAGATGACTTGAGAGAGAGATTCTGGGCCTGCTGATTAGATGTTGTTAAGAAGACAGAGAGAGGTGGGGGAGAGAGGGAGAGAAAATGACTCTTAGGAAAAAGCTGTCCTTTTAGCAGAGAGCCTGATTGTTGTTTTGATCAGCAACACAATAGCCTTGATTTCTGATGTCAGTGGTCTGCCAGCAAACCACAGAATTACTTAGTGGTTGGACCAACCTTCTAAAGGACCTTAACACTAAACATCAAAACATACAGTCCATTTGAAACAGATGAACTATTATAAACTATTATAAAACAACAACAACTTTGGCATGCAGATGCTTCTTGGAGAACAAGACGGAGGATTGGTCCTAATCCAGGTTTCTTATCATGATGCCAAATTACCAAATACACTAGAAGGTACTGTTGAGCTACATCTTACATTTGACTTGAACCCCACCCTACCCTTTCAGCAGGCCACATTTCCATCTCCTTAGAACTTTGCTAAGAACAAAAAACTCACACTCTGCTTCCCCTGCTTATGTCACCAATAATCCAGCCAGTGAACATGATGGCAGCCATACCAAGTGGAGTTGCGGGAGGAAGTGAAGGATAGACTAATCAACTAAAAGAGAGGGAGACATGCCTTGGTGAAAAAAATAAGTAACTAATGAGTTCGAACACAAGGTTCTTTTTTTCTGGCACAGTTTAAAAGTGATGATGTGGTGCCTTTA